TTGACCAACCTGGCAAAAAATATCCAAGGGGGTCGTGGTTATCTTGCTTAGATTGATAGGGCAATCAAAATCAAGGGTCAACATGGGTCCGAACCATCAGATAGATGATTAACACGTTTGTATCATGGCGGAAAGCGAGATCTTACCGCGCACGGACACGCGTATCGCAACAATGCGAAAAATTCAACTTCATCAACGGATTTTTTTGTCAAATAAAGAACGTTTTCAACGATTGACGTCGCATCTGTTTTGACATGACGCGACGTATCAGATACTCTCACTCACTTCTGTGAGCTATCGAGATCTATCTGCAGCAACTCAGTTCAAGCGTCGAGAGAGCAGCTGCCAAGCGCAATATCCATAAACACATAACACAAGTGCATGCTAAGTAGCTGTCCGCTACATAGACGCCATCTATAGGCAACGCAGATTACGTAAGCCGAGGAGCTAGATACACTATGTCGTATATACAGTATCGTACTATATGGTATGGCTATAGGTATATATACCTCTTTGACGTGAGCCACCGCGTAAATGTCAATAAACAAGCGGCATTGGCGCCCCCTATCGGCGTTATCGGTTGGTAGGATTTCTGATGGGGCTTTCTTAGTGTCCTAAGAAATGAGCTAATAAGGCTGGCCAGGGAAAGGTTCGGCGCAACGTTAGAAGGTCGTAGGAGAGGGCTGATCGACAGTTCCCTTAGGATAGTATTAAATAGGCGAGATGCAACATTATCGGACGAGAACGGGGAAACATAATAATACAGCACATGTTGAGCTGTATGTATATATATATTATATACTTGAATATGTCCTTATCATTTGTACATTTTAAGTTAAATAGCGATTCTCATATATTACAGCATTGCTAATTGCAGTTTTAAATCAATTACAAAAAATGTTTATTATTTACAAATGTCTGGATAATACGAAGATTCATGGTGCTAAATCACACATGCTTCGCTCGCTCGCTCGCACACGCGCGGGATCGTTATACCATTAAGTTTGATGTAGGGTATATTTTCAACGAGAAAATAGGGAAAGATAGAGAAGTAAGAGTGCCGGGAGCGAAAAAGATGGGAAGAGATCTTAAAGTATTGGAAAGGTTTGGTGGAGACACCCATGACAGATTGGTGACTCCACGCGGGAGCAAATCCACATATTTCCAGCTGCTGAAACAACAGCGCGTGTGATGTATGTTACTACTATGACCATGTAAACATATATTTACTCTTACACCGACAAAAATACACGACATTTTACGTGTGCATTTTACCGGACAATACCATATATATACCACTGAGCGCTGAAATGATGAGCAGATACCACTGAGCAGACGACCAACATAAAATTCACCAACGGAAATTATACACAAACGCACGATGACGCGAGAATTTCTATCTTCGTTACGTACAAACAATGAGTCGTCTGTCATGCATGGGCTGTGTGCGTGCCCGCGTGCTGCTACCAAGGCAACAATACACGCGCACATGAAGTACTACGCACATGAAATACTACTTAGCTGCAGCCGTGGTCTAAGCGTGCAGCCGTGGTGTAAAGTTACACGGTTATAGCTTTGTGCCAGCGTCGCTGCAGCCTCAGTGGGCTTCAGTGGTGTGCTACCACAATTATAGATGTCCGTCGACGCCGCTGCTGCTGCGGTCGCCGTCTAACACGGATATAGACTGTCACCGACACCGCTGCAGCTGCGGTCGCGATCCAACACGGGTTATAGATTTCCTCCCGACGCTCCGGCTGCCGCCTTGATATAACATTTGTTATAGACTGCCACCGGTTCTCGTCACCAGGGCATAGTGTGTGAGATGTCTTTGATCTCCTTCGTGGGCGGCTTGAGGGTCCACTTGGAGCGGGTTTTTTTGCGCGAGTCTACGAGCGCCTGTACCGCCTTGGTTCGCAGCACGAACTTCAGTTCGTAAGTATTCGTCATGGCGTAGAAGACGTTAGCACTGGGAGGCACTAGCAGCTCTGTAAGACACACAGACGATGCCGTCAGTATAAGTACGCACACATGCACTCATGCATGCACGCACGCACGAACGCACACACGCACGCACGCACGCACACACACACACGCGCGCGCGCACACACACAGACACACACACACACACGCGCGCGCGCACACACAC